ATGTATAAGGAAACAAAATTAAACTCGTAATAGCGCTAATAAAAAAACAAAAGACAAAAAAAAAAATAAATAAAAACAAAAAAGTAGAAAAACAAAGCATATACCTTCAGACGCATGATCACATTCACCGTACCGTGTCCATCGTCACGAACAAATTTCTCAGTCAACCCGGTTTCATCTACAATGGTGTTGTAGATAGTCAATAGCAAATAATTTCTATATAAACCTACAAAACACTCAGTCACTCGTAAGACATAAACATATAATAAATACCTCCCACGCACTCAACGCCGGTATCACCTGCAACTGCATTCATCGCCGCACCACAATCAACTACAAATGAGTAAAAACCATAAAAAAAAGTATACATCAACGTTCAAATGTAATAATTCTAAATGCAAAATGACAATAACAACTACCTGGTGGCACGTCTACATTGGAAGGCCCGCCAATAGTGGGTTCGTCAGCATTATTATGTCGTCCCTCATCAACATTATCCTCATCTTGGGTAAGCCCAAGTCCAAGGCTATAACTAGGGCCTTCATCATGCATCTTCATCTTTATAAAATGGTCACGCCGAGCAACAGCCTCAATAATAGCATCTATGGCAGCTAAGTTCTCGGGATTATTCCAAAATGCATCGTTCGTCAACTGAGGTTGGGCATATTGCGTTGGTGTAGCAACAGTCGCACGTTGGCTGGCAGTCCCTTTGGAGTCCTCGTTACACACCCCAAGTAGTTTCTGTGCCGCGCCTTGCATTTTCAAGAAATTGTCATCATCTAATAGATCCTTCGGGGCATTCTCAACCAACTTCAAAATCTCCACACCAATAGTTGCAAGAATACGGGTTTTCGATGCAAATTCTTGCACAAATTCCTACACAACGATCGATACAGCAACATATAATCATAAGTGTACCAGATTGCACAGTAATACTACCCTTGATGCACTTTTGTGAATTCATGGTTGCACCAAACGTTCGTCACATATAATGATTAGACACATATTTACTTAAAACAAAAACCATCAGAAAAAAAATATAAAAACAAACCAATATGTTATTCAAACCAATAACAACACATGATGTATTAGGCATACACAAACCACGCATGAAACGAAAATCATTCCTATATCGTATTCACAC